ATTAGCGCAGAAATGAAGCAAATTTTCCGGCAATTTAGAGACCGAAGTTCCGGGCTGCCCAGAACCAGAAGTTTCCGTAAAATTTTAGGATTGGAGCACTCCGACGTAAAACGTACCGTATAAAACTAAGCTGACCAGTTGACCATAGCGTTTTATAGAATCGACGTACGACGCACGACGCAAGATAACGACGACGATACGCGACGACGACGCGCGCGACGACGACGACGACACATCACGACGACGACACACGACGACGACTTCGCACGACGACGACGACGCCGCACACGACGCACGACACGCGAGACGTGCGACACCCGAAGCACGACGCACGACGACGACGACGACGACACCCGACGCCGACGCCCGACGCCCGACGAAAGACGCCCGACGCCCGACGCCCGACGCCCGACACACGACGCACGACGCACGACGCACGTCGCAAGACGCACGACCCACGACGCGCGACGCGCGACGCACGACGACGACGCCCGACGACGACAACGACGACGACACCCGACGACGACCACGACGACGACGACGACGACGACGATGACGACGACGACGACGAACGACGCACGACGCACGACGCACGCACGACGCACGACGCACGACGCACGACGGACGACGCGCGACGGACGACGCACGACGACGACGACGACGACGACGACGACGACGACGACGACGACGACGCACGACGCACGACGCACGACGACGACGACGACCTGGTAATGCCAGGTAATGCGCTTTGTAATGCCATAAAACAAAGCACGCTCGTAATATCCTGGTAATGCCAGGTGATGCGCTCATCTTGGAAGTGAAGTAAAAGTCCTGTTTAATATTTTAGCTTTGTAATGCCACAAAACAAAGCACGATTGAAAACAATGAAAGCATGCAATGAAACATGGCAAATGATCAACACCTGAACTCAACGGTTCAAGCGGTCAACAATGCTTCGACATTTTCGGCCACCCAGCACCCTAAATTTTCCGCAAATTTAGGGAGCTGGGCCGTGGCTTCTGAACATGATCAGGCTGCATCCGTTTCCTAAATTTCCTGAAAATTTTGGGTGTGTAAATTTTCGGAAAATTTAGGAAAGCGATGAAGCAAATTTTCCGGAAATTTAGGGACCGAGGCTTCGGGCTACCCGGAACCAGAAATTTTCCAGAAATTTAGGGGAGCGAATCCGGCTTGCGGCCGTCGAAGAGGCCCAGCCTTTCAAAGGGCACAGCCCAAGCCCCAAAATTTCCCGGAAATTTTGGGTCCCGGGTAGGCCAAAGCGGCTTGCTCGCCGGGGTCCAGAAATTTCCGGAAAATTTTGGGGCTGGGGCACTCCGAGGCGTGACGCACCGCATAGGGCTGGTTTGACCGTAGCGTTTTATAGAGTAGATTTCCATGATGAGGTATATCGTCTTTTATCAAGAGGAGATTTGGGATCTACGATTATTCAATCGTTATACTCATTCGTATCCTCATGACGATTCATGGGCCGAGGAACCCGACTAATGAAGAGTAAATGTATCATCCTCCGATAAGCTGGTGTGTATAGATACTACGAAAAGGAGATATTAATGTGAGAATCTTCTGCACCCAAAATATCAATTAATCGTGGTAAAAAGATGCGCTGAGAATGCAGGCTTTGAGTGACGCTGCGCCCCCTCCTGGACAAAGACCACCTCAATCGTCGCGGCCGTTTTATCTCGTTCGATCTCGCTCGCTTTCGCTTTCTGCTGACCACTCCGGCGATGTCCACACGAGTGTTGGACTGCGCCGAGCATCCGTCATAATCTTGTCACGGACATATCACCGTTCAATGAACGGCCGGCCCTTGTGACCAAAATGGGCACAGACTTGAGAATTGTATTCTCAAGTTCGCTGAAACGGCCCATCATGGCCCATCTACAGGCTTCGATTCAAGGGCAAGCATGGCGATCTTAGCCTTTCTAGGTTGACGCTTTCAGGACACGGGGGGAACATCGTGTGGGGTCACAAGGCCGCTGCCTCACTTCGAAGTCGGAACCTGAAAACGGAGGGGGGGGGGTTGAATCTTACAAGAGGTGGTTGCAATGCAGGCGCACACCCTGGGCTGACTGTGCTGCAATAACTGGTTCTACATAATCTAGACCCTTTCGGGCACATGACGTGTCCTGAAAGGGGCCCAACGTCTGGTTGCCAGACCCGCGCTCCCTTGTGCGAAAGCAGGGGAGCCTCCGAGCAGAGCTGGCTTCGCACCGCGCCTGTGGAGAGGAGAGCGATGGAGCAAGGCTACTGGCCTGGAAGGGTAGAATGGGTAGAAGATTCGAAGTGAAGACTGAGATTTCTAAGATTTCTTAACTGAAGACTTCTTTGCATGCTGGATTGGAAAGGGCCGGTGCCAAGCCTTTGATTTCGAAGGCGGTGTTTGGCGGCAGCTGCATCCTAGGGCCCGCATGGATTCGAATTGAATGTCCAACATCAAGGCAGCCAAACACAGTGATGGGCAGTAGGAGATGAGGCCCTCTGAGGACTCTGTATCCACCCTTCATCCCAGAGTCCCAGCACCTGAGGCCGCGACCACCCGAGCTTCAGCCTGCCATTGGCTCAGCACGACACTGCCTGCGCAAAGCACCAATAAGCACCAGTTTAGCTCACATGCACGTTCACGGAGGGTTGTGTGATGCGCACTGGGTATCACTGCGTGATCTGCTAGGGCTGCTGGGGCCTCCGGGCCGCTCCTCCTGAAGGATCGACACCCACGCGCTGCGGAACCTCTGCAGCAATGAAATGTTCACCGGGGGAAAAGTGGCTTCCAGAGCCATGCCGCGAGCCGAGTCCCCAACCGAGTCCCCAACCAAACACCCCTTCTACTGAAGCTTTAGAAGGATAGATGCCAGCTATAAGCGAGGGTGCGTGAAAGCGACAGAAATTCACGACCAGATCTGCTATGATCTGCTGCTTTGTGAGCTTCATGTACTAGTGCGTGCGAAAGTACACTCGCTTGTGAATTGCACTTCAGAAGCAAAGCAGTGGACTTCTGGATCAAACCATGCGAGAGAACGGAACAAGTCTGGAGCACTTGGGTAAGCTTCGGAGTCATCCAACTCAGCATGTTGTAGATAGATCCTTTTAAGTGAGACTTTGTGTTCTCTTTTCTCTCCCCCGACCTGATTGAAAACATGCATACAGAGGGTCTTGGCCAGAATGGTCATCAACTTAAGTGAATCGAAGTGATGCCTAGTGCCTTCAATTTCGTCGCGGAGGGAAGTCTATGAGACAATGGTAGACAATGTTCGGCCCCAACCAGGCTGCAGGCTCGGATGTCCCGCGCCAGCCTACTGGCATCTAATGGAGTTTTGGGTCCCACCATGGCCCTTGCACTTGGTCATTGTTCTGCCAGGAGAACAGCTGCTTCTCACATGTGGTGCCATTTCGCGGACGGAAAGTTTGGACTTCGGTCCCAAAAGTTTTTCATCGAGCTGTGAGATGCGGTTGGAATTTGGTTGAAGGTCCTTCTCACAAGCAATGTGGGGTTACAGATGAAGCCTCGACGGAGAGAACAAAGCCATGCTCAATACTGTTGGGGGCCATGCTGTGCCCAGCTCCTTGCAGCCATCAGCCGTCGTCGCCAAGCCTCAGAGGACAGGATAGCTCTAATTGCCAGAACGAACAAAACTTTCAGAACATCTCTTGTGATGGTCCCGCGCAAGGGCTTTGGACAAGGATGCTGTCGTTGGTGACTCCACCTCACAACGGCGTGGAACCCGCATGGATGACAAAGCTGAAGTCGACGGTGACCCGACTGTGACCCGTCAGGTGCCCCGTCAGGCCTTGCCCACCCAGGCAGTGCTGACTGTTGCGCTGTACGAGGGCCTCCCAAGTGACCCCAAGCGCAAGTGGAGAGCACCGGGCACAAGATCGTAACACCGGGCCTCAGGTCGGAATGTGATAGCCCCACCTGCCAAAAAGGCGAGAGTGTTTTTCATGGTGTCGATGTATGGAAGAGTATGGAAGCGAATGGAAGCGAAAGAAACGGGACTGATTTGACATGGCGCCGGCTTTGTTACGTGCCTATTTGGCCTCCTGGCCGTGAGGTTGCAAATAGTATAGGCTCTAAGACGTCTCTCGTACTGTGATACATTGCCGTTACACTATGATGCTGCTCTACTGCTATACTGCTGCTTCACATTGTGCTTCTTCACGATTGCGTGATTGCATACCGTACCGTAGTTGGACAGACAGCGAATTTCTCGAACTTCTCTTTCAAGCCAAAGCGAAATGAGCTGCAACAAAGAACCGACGGGGAACTGATCCTCGACGTCTCGAAGGCTAGCTTCATTAGCCGGTGGAAACAGGTTTGCAGAGGTTTCAATGGTTTGCAGTTACCGCCCGGTGAGGACAGGTCAATCACATAGCCTCTTCGTGAGAAGGGGGCAAAGTGTCAGGATGCACCTTGCTTAATATGAATATATGTCATCACCTGATTTCGTCCAAAGAGGATGATGGACAGACAGCTTTATTTGAGAAATGCATGCTCGACACACTTCGACTGTCACATGTCACCTACATGACTGGAAGTAAGTAAAACGACACTTGGCTTGTAGTCACGAGTCTCAAGATGTTGCCGCGCTGCCTCCCTGCAGGCTCGCTGCTCGGCTTCTGCGAGGCCCGCGAGGCCCGCGAGACCCCAAGCCTCCTCCAACCGTGAAAGCAAGAAAGCCACTTACTTCGTCCTCTCCTTCTTATCTTCTCCCTTTCTCAATAAGCTCTCTGTCTGTAGACGCATGCTCCCAGCTGAACCTCGCAGCCCGCAAGCTCGCGGAAACGGACCAGCGCCCTTCGCAGCCTGTACCCGCGAAAGCCAAGAACGTGAGCAGCAGATTGGAAATCTCAGACGCAGTCTAAGCAAAGAAGCAGGACTGCAACAACATTCTCAAAGCACTGCAGTGCTACAGGCAAGACACCCCAAGTCGAACCCACAGCATCCTCTCCAGGCCTCTCGGCACCTTGGAGTGACGGAGTGGTCCGCGAGCGGACGAGGAGTTGCCGAAAGCTCACCATGGCCTCAAGTACGGCGAAAGTAGAAGCACAGATGGAATCACCCATCGTTGGCCCGCCCCGACCTGAAAAAGGCCAACAGGCACGGCACGCACGCCCCGCACGCACCGTACCCTCTGCACAGTGCGTCTGGGTCTGCCGTGAGGCCCGGCCACCCTGGCAGCACAAGATGCCCGAAAAGCTTTTTGAGATATCAGAATGACAAAAAAAACCACTCAGGTTGCTTCATTCATGCGCCTGACTGGAGCCTTGCGCTTGGAGCCTTGCCACAGCCCCTTTCCGCGCCGGGATAGGGCTGGCGAAGGCCTGGCAAAGCCAGTGCCGAGCAACGACTAGTAGCCCACCACAGCAGCACTGAATGTATACATCGTAGAACGTCTGAGTATCGGCGGAGCTGAAGTTGCTCTGCAGTCGGTGGGGCAAAGTTATCTACTGTAGAGCTTCGCCTATACCTAGATGGACTCAATCAACGCAAATACTTAAAGCCAGGGCCACGAAAGCTGGTTCTGTTCGTGCCACAGCTTGCTCCTTCTCTAAAACCCATTGCGGGGGCATTCTTTTGATCAAAGGACATGTGCGCACATCTGCAGCAGACATGGAGGCATCAGGCGTCATTGAAATAGAATCGGTAGGTAAGCTATCTGGCGGTGGATAATCGGAATGGACGCAGCGATGGATGTCGAACGTGTTGGATCGGGACCCTAGGGGTCCTAGTGTGGGAGACCCCTGAAAATCGGAAGCGATGGACAACTTGAATGTCCGGAAACTCCCGACACAGCAGATCACAAGCAAGGGTCCAAAAGGGCCTCGACGACCCACAGACAACATTGTAAGCAACAGCGAAAGCAGGCTGTTGAAGAGCTGGCTCTCGTGACAGAGTTTGTGGCAAGAGGAGCTCCCCTGCATGAGTGGCTTCCAAGCAGCACAATGGTCATGGGAAACGACCCATTCACGATACAGCTACTATCTCTTAAGCTGCGCTTCCGGAAGCCAGGAACTATGTTAGGCCGTCTCGTGACACTCACGAGCTTTGGGTCGTGAGTCACGACTATGACGCATAAACTGCCATTCTTGACTCCAGTTTCAGCCATGAGGAGCACAATGTCTACGCAATTAGATGCGTGAATCATGTGTGTAACATACAAACAAGCCTACATCTACACACACATGTGTATGCATTGGTAGAAACAAGTGTGACTATGGCGTCACGATGAGCGCATGAAATGTGCAAGCCAGTGGCAGCGATGAACGAAAAAACATCACAGGCGCTAATTGACAAGAAGGAACCAGCCTGTCCGATTTGCGCCAGCGCGCCTCTGCAGAATCACCAACTTACATCGCATATCTACGAACTGGTATCAACCAACGGCCGCAATGAATTCTCCGTCTTCCTATTCCAATTTGCGAGCAATGCCATCTGCTGCGTCTGCCTGGGCCTGGGTCATAAAGCGCAGGAGCTTCTGACCTCGAACTGCATTTACGAGTGGTCTCTCCCTCCTTGTTTTCCTAGTCTCACGTCCCTGACGTATCGCCACTTATAGGGAGAGACCAGTTTAAATGAAAAGGCTAAGCAAGCAAGCGATGGAACGTATGATGCTGCTCTTGTCGGTGTGCCGGCGCGACGTATGTGACTATCGGGCTCGTGAGTCATCCTTGGCTTCCTGGAGGAATGTGACCTGCCCTGCTGCCCAACCTCACACGATCCATGTCTTCGCCCGCAGTAAGGGGAGAAGCTTGGCTTGCATTCTGCCTTGCATTCTGCCCCTTGTTCCATGATGTTTCCCATGTGTTAGTGTATGTTAGTGTCAATGTGACTGTAGAAAGTGCTTCCCCTCTAACGGTGCATCCCTGGACCCTCCCATTTTTGCCACCCTCTTGGCCGTGGCCTGCCCCTCCGACATCCTCTGTGACGCCCTATTCCATCCCTGCTGCTATGCAACTACTGCAATTTGCAGCCAAAGCCATCTGCATCACAAAATGCGAGATTTCCTCGCTTCGAAGACGAGCACTGGCGGCTCTCACTGCATGCCTGTGTCGCGCCCCTCCGAAACGGAAAACTTCACAGAACGGGCAGGGAGAGGGACAAGGAGAGGGGGAGCTCCACTCTAAGCCCGGAGCGCTTGGCACTTGGCAGTGCTTCCAGGTGCCGGCGTCGCTCCTCTGGCGACAGGCGCTGCAGGCCTGCACAAGAGGGCAAACAAGGAACAGGGCGGGCAAGGAATGTTTCTCAAAGTCGACAAGCGCCGGCAAACTAGCTCTCCGAAATGCGACTCGCTTCACATTCCCTGGAAAGCAAGTCGGGCCGTCACGCAGCTGCTTCAGACTGCGTGGCGTGTGAGGTTGCCTCGGCACTGTGTTGTGAAAACCTGATCAGCAAGGCCTCCACGCCATGCCACTCAAAGCGCCCGGCTTCTCTGGCTTATGATGTGATGGATTGGGCAACGCGTTCGTAGCCCGGAGGTCCATCTGCCAAGGCCAGGTCTCTGCAAGCCACACTATGCCACACCATGCCACACCATGCCACGCTCCACGGGCTTAAAGCGTCACAGGTTCGTCCTCCACGCAGGATGTCAGATCGCCGGTGCCCTTGCCCGCGCTGCAGCCTCGAGAGGGACCGGTTTTTGAGGTTTCTTGGCTTCATGAAATTTGGTCTGAGGCTGGAACTGCTGCTGCTGCAGCAGCTGCTGCTGCCGCCTTTGCCACTGCTCGTGCTGCATTGCCAACGCCTCGCGAACCAAAGGCTTTTTTGCTTACTTGCGAGGGAGCCCAACTCGACAAGTCATGCACTGCTCCCACACACTTGGGTGCAGCAGGCTTCTCAAGTAGCCTTTTTCGAGGACCGGAAACAGGATTGCACTCAGGCCTGTGTGGTCGGAGCCGGTGCGGGGTGTGGTGGAGGATCTCTGGAAGCAGCGGATGGATGAGGACATCATGGCCTGGTCTGAGAACCACATTGAGGCCAACATAGTAACCGCAGTAACCAACGGCGAATCAGAGTCAGAAATACGAGAGACCCTGAGCCCGCTTCGATTGACTCGAGGGATCTGCACACTCCGTCAAGGGAGTGCCAACAAAAGCCGGCACGATTGAACCAAAAGCTGGGTTGGGCCGGCGAATGGGCCGTCGTCCCGCCTTACGTTTACTTTTTCGTTTTTGCGGGTTCCGGAAATGAAGGGCTTCCATGTGTTTTCCCTCCCCTTCTGGACATGTCGAGTTGAAGCTCCAATCTCCGTTGCTGTTCCCAGGGAGCTGGCTCTTGGGCATGCTGCCTGCCATCTTCCATCGCACGTGGAAGAGCACGAAATACTCCAAGCAGGAGGAACCAAAGCATTCAAGTCGGGTCACTTCGTTCACCGTTTAGCCATTGAAGACTTGGGTTGTAAAGCAAACGCCCACACAACTTGCAATTTTGATGCTCGCATGTGCGGGGTAACACATACAAGAATCGTCGCTACAAAATATGCAGGCACTGGATGCTGTGGTTGACTACAACTTCTGCATTGCAGTTAGGTATCAAATGCCTGCACTTGTGGCCGTGAGACTTGGTTAAGAAATCTATTAAATGCAGAAGCTTTGCTTCTGTTCTAGCTACGGTCGGAGGAGGCACCATGATGCAAAAAGCCATTCTGTGTCAGCAACACACTGTTGCTTTTGATTTTAAGTCATCCGAGCTAATGCAGCTAATATGCGCTATGATGGGCTGGCTATGTCCGCTATGTCCCCTCAGCCTACAGGTCTGTGCCGGTCTACTTGGAATCGTCACTGGTGCTGTCGGCATTCCCGTTGACCTTAGAATCGGCCCTTGCCAAACGAGCTCCTTTTGGGAGCGGGGGTCTTTGAACATGAAGGTCAGCTGAAGATCATTAGTCTTTTTGATGCTCGTTGCGCTCTCCCCTGCATACATGGTGGGCACGCCTACGGCTCTTGAACTTTGCAGACCCAGCTGCGTGAATGTCATCCAACTCCTCCTCACTCGTCTCCTCCTTGTGGTTGAACTTGGCAGACCTCGAATGCTCAGGTCAGAATGCCTGTGCCAAACCTGCTTGAAGCTTGCTGGAGCAAAGCTCAAGAACGAAAGGCTGGCCATCCGTCAATCGTGGCACGCACTCTCCCTGCCTTCGCCGCTTCTCGCCGGCGCAGAGCCTCCCTTTGAGCAGAACATGAAGAATTCAAGCATGTCAGGTACACAGCACATTTCGCAACTCTCAAGCAGTCCTTGCGTGATCTAACTCAAGGAACATACGACCACACTGGTCCCTACTGCTTGTATCGAGCTGGCCTTGGATGTGCGATTGCCTCGCGCACCCAAGACACATCATCAGCAGGATGACCACGCCAGCCTTGGCTCGAAAGCTCTTTGGCATGCGATGACTAAAGAATCAGAAAGAACTGAATTGCGCTTGGGATGCCTGCACTTCCTATCACTTCTTCCGAACACAAGAGTAGGCAATCTTGTCAGACGGGCGGCGATGATGGCCAGTATCCCAAACCTGGCCGTGCCGTGACAGCAGTGACAGCTGGAGCGAATAGATTTGGCTCCCAGAATCAATCGAAAAAACCGCTGTGATTCGAAGCGCTAGATGAAATATCCAGGGCACTCGGAGTGATCTTCTGAGCACACTTCTCGTCCTTGCTCGTCTAGTCGCCTAAGGCAGGCAGACAATTCACACGAGCTCATGGGCGAAACCCTACGAGCACTGCACCCGACAACATTCTGAGCAAATATTGAACATTCAAATATCGTTGCGCCAGTTGCTGCTGTGATACGTGCAGCAAAGTCCAGTCTCCTTTTTGACTGCCTGCGGCATGCCAAAACATCTGAGGATGCGCCATGGCTAGAGCCCCGAGGTGGCATAGCAGCTGTCGCTGTCACTATTCGTTCCTACCAGCCAAGGAATGCAAGTCTCCGGCCTTCGCAAGCCAGGAGGCTCTGGGCCAAGCGCCGCACTGCGAGAAGCGCCCACCGAAGCGCCAAAGCTGGGCAAAGCTCTGCAATTGTCTTATGCGGCTCATACGCATACGATGAATTACCTCCCCCACCCCCAACCTGCACTGATGCTCATTCACAAACATGTCAGCAGCAGCGGCAGAGGTAGCAGAAGAAGTAGCAATAGCAGTAGCACGAAAAGCACGACATTAAGCAGATGTTAACGCTGCTCTTAACCCTTTTTTGGCAAGGCTTAAGCCCCAGAAGTTGGACGAAAGGGTCTTTTCCCGGCAAAGGCCCCTATGACTATCTGAACTCCTGTTGCTGGCGCTTTTACCCCTCCAGAAGCTTCAGAGCACCCTAGTCCCCTAAATAATGGTATCTACAGCGCCTTTTGCGTCTCTTCGCATGATATACCTGGCACATGGCATGACGCTTTTGGAACAAGATGTGCTGTCACAAGCACATGTTTTGCCTTTACAAGCATGCCTAAAACAGTGGTATGTTTCACGTTCCTGCCTTTCTTGCTGTGTTTGCTTGCTTTCTGTGTGTTGATAGTTCGATTGTTGTTTGGTGCTAGCTCTCTTGCTTGTCGGTGCTGTTGTTTGTTAGCGCTTTTTGTTGTTTGTTGCTCGTTGTTGTGTTGGTGTTTGTTGGTTGCTGCTGTTTGCTTGTTGCTCTCAAGTTCTTGCTGATCTTCTTGATACTGTATTGTTGATCTTGATGTTCTTGCTGTTTGCTGCTGCTACTGTTATTGCTGGCTATTGCTGTTTTTGCTGGTGCTGGGTGTTGATGCTGTGGCTGCTGGATTTTGCTCGGGATTTCTACATGTATGGATGGCTTGGGGACTATGTCGCAGCCTGCGCCTCGTAGAATAGCCTACGCACACAGAGGCGGACTTTTGCTGGCGGAACCAACCATGCGAGTCTGGCACTACGTGTTGCTTGCGCCTGCGAAAAGTTGTCACGACGGGCGACACGAAACACAGAAAGCAGCAAGACTGCGCAACGAAAAAAACATGCTGTAGGCTGTAGGTGCACAGTGTGAAGCCTTTCAGACTTTAAGCTTTGGCACAGTTCTTCGTATGAACCACGGAGCTGATTGGGCTTGACATTTGTTTCTTGTGTTATGCCTTGGCGAGTGCACGTTTTCTCAAAAGCAGGCCAGCTCAAAGAACACACGTGCAGCCTGAAATGGTTGCAACCTGAGCGAACCTGCGCAGAATCTAGGCTTGAAAAACCATGCCGCACTATTTCATGAGCTGCGTGCATAATCTCAACCCGGGTGTAAGGCTTACTGTAGCAGCCGCTCAGCATCGGAGCAGGAGTGCCCAGGACTGAAGGCATTTTTGCTTCTACTTTTCAAGATTTGGATGTTCTGGAAGTGCGCTGACAGTTAGAGCCTTGAGGTAAGAAGTCACATGCACGAAAGCAGGCAGCAAGCAACTTGTTGCAGCTGCGAGTCGATGTCCCTGCAAGTCGCCGCTACCTCGTGAAGCTCCAGTCTTCATGGAAACAGTAATGTCGGGAACAAGGACGAAGAGTCTCTTGGTTGAGCTCATGAGAACTGTGAGTTGCAGGCTGCATTCTGCCAGCATGCAAAACTAACGGCTGTAGACTGCGGGACCGTAGAAAGGTACTCGCATGATGCCGGCATGCCCTTCCCCTTCGCACTTGCACCTTGGAGGAGTGCATGTGGTTCGACCGTCGTCGATCACATACCTTGCGGATGAAGTCTTCCAGCTGTGGCGAAGACATAGTCGAATCTGGCACGCACCTTTGTGGGGGCAGAGTAACCTCTTGAAGTCCTGCCCCATGCTGTGCTAGAGTCGCAGCAAAAACGACCAGCACAGCGAGTGCACGAGCAGGTCCGCTTTATCTGACAGCATTGCCCTGTAGAGTGATGCCTGATCTCGAGAAGCTGCCTTCATGACAACTTGAAATTGTGAGCTAGACACGCGCTGGTGTTTGTACGCACGCAACGGCGCGTTCGAACAAGCAAGCTTTTTGGATGCATTTCAACAAGAAATACGAGGGCCTTTTGGGGAGGGGGGCAAAAATGTCTCGTCTGGTCTGTAGTCAAACATGTACAAACCAATGACAAACCAATGGCTCTGGTGCTTCCAAGCGGCGCTTGCTCTTTCCATTCCAGTTCTTCTCTGCCTCGGAAACACAGTCATTGCACCTTGTGTCCAGAATTCGGGGTATCAGAATAGCGGGCCATGTCGGACTATTGTCTTGTGAAGGTCGAATCGGGCAGCCACGGGCTGTTCTTCTCGAGCAGAAAGGCCTTGGCAATGTTACAAACCATGTTGCATCGGCTTCAATGCAAAACTTTCTGGTCGTTGGTTTTGCAGAGCGAACTTCCTGGCTGGCCAACGCAAAACACTTGTCTTACCTCAAGTAGCAGCCAGCAGCGGATTAGGCTTACCAATGTTTAGCGCCCAGTGGCCCTGCCCAGCCGTTTTTGCAGGTGCAGCGACCATTCCCTGTGCCGACGGGCTTGTCTCCATGTGGCTGATGCTGCACAGTCTGCCTGCACAAGACTTATCGCAACTTGTGCATCACCTGCATGCTGCAACTGTCTTCTGAGAAAGCAAGATAACGGAAAGCTGCTGAAAGAGGACCTGTCTAGGCAAGACTCTGCCATGATACTGCACAAAGTGCCAAGCGGCAACTACTCAAAGCCTAACAGGGCCTAACAGCTAATGAGTCCACACTCACCATGTACGGAAGGCTTCCCTCCCGGAGCGGGCCATGGCGCGTTCCACGGCTGGAAGACCTTTAAGCACTCACCTCGTCCAAGGCCGATTCATGCGACTCGCTCCAATGATGCTTATGCAGTACCACGGCGGCAAGATTATGCAGGTCCCACCGTGGCCACATAGGTCCAGTGTGGAGTTTGCGTCGCAAGGACCTCCGCCAACTAAACTCTCTTCCTCAGTCTCAGGACATGGGATGACGCAGGGTGCGAAGGGGTCTGCAGGCTGTGCTATTTGAAGCCGCAATGGAGTGAACATGCCGAGGCGCCAATGGCTGGCAGGTCTTAGCAGTGCCCGCCAAGCGCGCTAAGCAGCTTGGGCCAGTCCAGGCCTGGTGACTTCTTCTCAACGCAGGTCATCTGATCCTATGCGTGCCCTCAGAAACAATAAGTTGAGTTATATCCATAGTCAAGATCGTTGGGGTCTGGATTTTAAGGGGTCTATGTCACACATGACGTTTAGACGACGTCAAACTTCACAATTTCACTTGTGTTTTTTTGTGTTGTCTTCTTCATGTTGCTCTAAATAGTATTGATGTCTGGAAGATTGATTTTCTTTTGTGGGTGGTCTAGGATTGAGGGTTTTGGCTCATTATGACTCAGGGACTGAGGGTTTAGACTTGTGGTTCAACCTGACACCGCATGGCTTCTTCAGCCCGAAGCCCGCAAGCTTCAAGCCCAAGAACAACGAGCCTGATTTCTGGCCAAATCGGAAGCCCTGCGCCCCCAACGCGAAACTGTTGAGCTCATCTTGTTTTTGCGATTGCACCGATTGCATATCCTGCACCAATCCCTCTCGAACAAGTCCGGTGATCTGGTTTAGCGCGCATTGGCCATGCCAAAAGATGTTGAACAGATTTAATAAGAGTTTGCAGGGTGGGGTGGGTGGGTAGTGGATGTTGTTAAGCTCGAGTTGTAAGTTTATTGCGGCTGAAGTGAACGAATCTTCAGACATCGCAATGAAACGATCTCATTCTACAGCCGCAGGCATAGGGTTTGCTGCCTCCATAGGGGCTTCGGAATGCGTTACCGAAGCAGAAGACCGTCTGGTGAAAAAATCCATTGAAGGAGGGGTGGGCCGCTTTTGCCTCCATCGGCCCGGTCTTTGTTCCCTTTCTGCGTGTTGAAAGCCGAGAAAAACCAAGACGGGACCCATAGGTAGCAATACGGTAAAAACCCCGTTTATATCTATTCATCCGTTTGGGGGTTATCGCTTTTTCTTGATTATCGTTGTACAGGATTTGGTGGAACAGACTACCGGAATGAACGTTTCGTTTCGGTGAGCCCGCTGGATTTTCATCGATTTCTAGCACAAGCTGAGTACTGGAACCGACGTTCCCGTCAGCCGGCTGGATTTGCATTGATTTGTAGTACAAGCTTAGTACTGGAACCGACGTTCCCGTGAGCCGGCTAGACATTCATTCGGGTAACTCCTTTCATAGATCGAATGCGCGGGGTTTTTATACAACTCCATCTGTTGACAAGGCTCAGTGTTTGGGTGCTTGAATTCGAAAAGTTTCTGATACTGCTCCTTTAGCTTGCCGTGATCGGCTACGTGGGATGAGGAAGCCTTGGTGTCGTGACTCTAGGCGCAGCAGTGCATTGCGTGCCTCTGAGCAGTTGCAAACACCCTCCACGCATGTGCCGGATCCTGCCAGCATGGCAGCATCCAGGACGCAGCGTGCACTTGACGTGTTGGAGTCCAGCTCACATGAAAGACAAGAGCTATAAGCTTGCCATGATCTCAGGAGGTGCCTGAGAGGGCCCCACAGTTTGCGTCTGTCTGACAACGTGCACCGCCCGCGTAGACTGGCCTGTGAAGCAAGCTGTAATGTTAGCAAGAATCTTCTGTCATGCTAACCAAACTGACTTTGATCAGCCTGGAAAGCACAGCGTGGCATCATCCGAGATGGAGGTCTGAGTTTGTGGCGCGAGTGGGGCATCGAAGTTGGGCACGTTGTAGCGATTGGGCTGGCTGTCAATCCAGCCTTGCGTTGGCGCGGCCTGAGGGTCCATAGCTACAATAGCTACACTGAAGCGATGGCTAGCAGAAAGATCGTGCGCAAAGCGGCTATGCCTTCGGAGAGCAGCCTTGATGATCCTCTGCCTGTTGTTCCTGTTCGAGTCGGATTGCAGCTTGACGTTGCACGTGTGTTCGTGTGTTGCCCAATCTTCAAGAATCAAGCGCTCGGTCCGATGTCTGGTACACACGGATGTAATCCACCTCGAAGGTGGCCGGCAGTGTCCTCACCATCACTGACATGATGGCAAGCAACTGCCTGCAATAAGCAACCTGAGCTTCTTACTTGTCTTCTCATGAAAGACTTCAAATGGCCTCGACTTACCTCCAGCTGCCTCTGTGCAGTACAGATAAGATCGCTGGCCACCTGCACATCTTGGAGAGAAACATGAACTCCTCGCCCTGGCCCATCCTCAGCTCCAAACACGAAAGATGCACTACCACCTGCCTTCGGGGTTTTCTGTATGCTCAGCCGAACGCTCGTTAAAAGCCTTGATGTGCCAAAGAATGTCTCATTTCGCAGTGGCCATGAGTGACGGCATGGTTCCGTCCAGGGCACATGTCCAGTGTTCACCCTGGTTGCTTAAATTTGCTCGACCCTCCTCGTGTCAAGTTGTTTCAGGTCTTTTCCCAACGCCGGTCTGTCGTGGACGTCCTTATAGTCAGGGCAGCAAACTTGCCAGGCAGCCCTGAATATCCTGGAGTTTTGTCGACACCAACATCTCTTGGGCAACCTTTCCTGTTGCAGCTGTCAGCACAGCATTGCAAGCAGACCATCGCAGCCACGCTTGCTGATACATACACAGAGAGCGACATGTAATACACATAATATGTATAGTCAACGCATTTGTTGCAGGCCTGCTGCTTCCATTTGAGTCTCGCAAGTCCCTGACACGCACCATGCCGTCTGCAACCGTCTCTAGATGTGGGCTCCTTTAGGCCTTCGCCCCCCCACCCACCCCCCCCCCCCCCACTTCCGTCTAATCTTCGAACTGAAGGCTTGACAAGCGTTGAGAGGGCCAAGGGCCCCCTGCCCTACACCGCATCCCCCTGAAGTTCTTGAAACCTAACGTTACAGCGCGCGTGGGTCGACCCAGCCAGTTAACGCAACATTCTCAGGAGCTTGCTTGTCACCATTTCACAAGAGCAGCCTGCTTCGCGAACCGGTCGGATTGTAATGCCATCTATTGCGAACTGCACTCCCTCGTCTTGGAGCCTATCTGTACTGCCATACGTTTCCGATCCTATCAATGTATACGCTCACAGCCAACTTGGCGCATCGTTGGGCATTTAAACCCATGCCAAGCATCTTCACCATGCAGGAGATGCATTCTGGGTTCTTGCAGTCCATACCTTAGACAATGAAGATTCGGGACGCACCAAGTCGTTGAGTCGTTGCAGTCTACATCTATTCGAACTTCGAGCGGGGACATCTTCCATTGCATGCAAGCAGCAACAGCCACAGGATCCACCAGGACACTTCCGCTCGAAAATGTCCTGGGTAAACACCCTGGTACACCCAAGCTAGACTTGCCATGGGACCCGGGGCCACGTATGTTTATCGGAACTGCAGATGCATAACTGGTCATGCCTGTTCTGTACACTTGCATGGAGCGCAGCTCAGGCTGCAACCCAGCCCCACTGCTTTGACATGTCAATGTTCAAGATCATCGAAACCGGCCTGTTGCACAACTCGGTCGTGACAAACTGCTCTGCGTGTTCAATGTCGTCCAAGACTTGGCCAAACCTATCCAAACCTGCCAGCACGTTCATTCCAAGTGGCTCGAGGAGGAGTTGTCGCGCAAGCAGTAGGCCCAAAGGCTTGTCGTCACGAGTCACCTCCTTGGTGCAAGAGCCCAGATGTTTACAAAGCCATCGGTCCATGCCTTCAAGTAAAGAGAAAATCCGAAACAAGACAGGCATGTAGCGTGCATAAGAATTCAGGCCAGAACCAGCTGCCGCGCAAGCAAAGCAGCATTCAATCTGCCATGTCAGACATAAGCAGGAGCTAGCAGAAGTTTCGGACGTTGTGGAGATTTGTGTAGCATTGGGAAGACTTGTGCCTCCTACAATCGTAGAGAACTCGAGCGGCCTCTAGAAAAAAACTACAGGACCTACATATAAGCATGGCCGAAGCATGGCCTAAGCTCTCTAAGCCTCAGGACTCCTGGGGCAAATCTGATAGAACATGTGCTGACGGTGCACCACACCAAAGCTGAAAACTACACGGTGGGCTCCGAAGCATCACTCTCTACCATCTCTCTCGCTCTCTCTCTCTGCACAGTGTTGGTGGAACCCCGGTCCTGAAAAGCATCTTTCCATCCATCCAAAAAGTGAGGGCTCCATCGCCCACTGTGCTCCACTCGAAGCGGTAGACCTGAGCCCCAGAAAACTTGAGGAGGAGACTCTGAGACCGCAGCTTGAGCTTCAGCAGCAGGGGGCACTAAATCCGACACTTTGCACTCTTCGAGACCTTTATAGAGCTTCAGGTTTTGAAAAACGCTCCCGGATCCAGGTTTTTGGTGCCTGAACTTTCGCACCTGGAAATCTGCAGCCCTATCTCTGAAGAGCGGCAACCCGAGCGCGAGACAAAAGCATGAGCTAAAGCTCAGCTGAGAATGCTTGATGGGTTCTGGAACTGCTCCACACAAATGAGCCCAGCGGGGCTCTGGACGGCACGTGCTTGTGTGCTGTCAGGACATCCGCTGCTCTGTTCCCCTTGAGTTCCCTGCGTGCTGCTCTTCAAAAGCAGACTTGGTCAAGTGCGTCATGGCACCGATTGAGTCCACTTGTAGCTGCACCTGTGGGTTGACAACACATGGTATTCCCTTCAGCGGCCATCACAAATCTGCGACTCTTCCGACTTATCGCTGCCTTCGACATGTAGCCTGACCCTCAGACCCAACATCGTTGCTCAAGGCCCCGGCATCTGTCCAGGGATTGACATTGGCAATATACTTGCCTCGGGAGGCACTCAAACATTCTCTGATATTCGCCGGAGAGCTTGAGAATGATCGGAACATGTGTGGGCGTGCACACCTCTCACTCTTTGCACGAACGCGCCACATGAATGAACACTCGACAAATGTACTGGGCTGATTGCAATGCAGTTTAGATGCAAGGTATGCAATTGCAGGAGCCTTTCTACAGCAACATGGGAATGAAGTTGCTGGAACAATCTCCTGGTGCCTAATCTGAAGTTGCTCTTGCTTGACCCAACTCACCTGAAGCCTAGTCTGAAATCCGAGATCTGCTTGACAAGCCCAGTGCCATAGTTGTGGTAGTTGATGGTTGTATCCGGCCCGTATACCTGGCAGCGTGGCCCCCGTTCCAACTGACTAAGGTTCATGTGCCTCGAGGCATTGGCAAACGGACAGTAGAATCAGTAGAAGTCGGATGATGAACATGATGCGAACATGGTCTTGCTGGCATTTCTATTCGCAGGCCCTGCGACAAAACAAGAATTGTCAGACTTTCTATTCGTGCCCTTCCACATCCTGAAAGGTGTACCGTCAGCGCTAAACAAACCCCACTGCCAGTGAAGAGTAATTCGCTAAGCGGCTACAGCGTTTAACCAGCTACCCGAGCACAAGGTTTCATTAGGCACTCGTCAAGGAAAACAGCAACTACTGCGCAATACCAGACTCGGTCCTGAGGGTTGTCCTGCTGCAGCTCTGAATACCACTGCTTGCCCCAAATTGGCACCTGGACTTGCATGGCACGCAAGTCATCCATCGGAATGCAGTAACCGTACAAAATACATCTCCTCACGTGATACGGCTTTGCACTCCCATCATGCGCACAGACTTCCTCAAGACACATTCTTCAAAGCGTCGAGAATGGCATGCGGAAGTGCGGTGAAGTCAGGCAAAAGGCGCACAAGGTTCCCTTGCAAGATCTCCTGAGGCGTGGGCGCATGATTCGTTCTGCCGCGGAGGCCCGGGGGGCCTTTGGTCTGCAGCGATAGGGATTCCCGGCGCTGCCTGCAGCGTGTTTAGCCTCGCACAGCAAGATGTGCGGCCGAGGAGATTGGAAAAGTTATGATCTGGCAACCCACAGGCTAAAACACATGACTCCATAGAGTAGGATGCGGGCAAATGCGGCCGAGGCATGTCCAGCTTGCTGTAGTCAGCTTGTGGCTGGCAGAACCCAGTCATTACCTGGTCATTTGGTAGAAGTTGGTTTTGATTCTGGAAAGGATCCTGGGTGCTTTGCCCCGGCAAGTAACGGGGACGGTCACTGGGGCCCATTCAAAATGCACATACGCTACCAACCAGAACATCAACAGAATAAGCGACACAGTCTGCGGCCTTGTCCTCCCTATAGTTCGGAGCATAGCTGCCGGGGAGAACTTCTAGAATGTCAATCTCGATGGCGCCGCGGCCTTAGTTGAAGCATCTCAAGATGGAATCCCTGTCCAGATCTGTCCAGATCTGTCCAGGTTAGAGCTGACAAGCCGGCAGCTTCTCAGTGACCTGGGCACCCTACCCTGATGTGATCGAAGGCCAAAGCGCTCAGTCCAGTTGGAACCGAGACCTCCGGCTGGTTTCAAGGGCAGCAACGTAGAGAAATCTACGTTCTTTGAAAGAGTGATGGGGTCACAGCTTCTCATGCGAATCTTGCAGTGCACAGCTGCTGCAACCAGTGATGCGGTGGCCAATAAGGTCATGAGTGCTCAGGTACATGCACTCGTTGATCCGCTGCTGCTTCTGGGGATCCTGCAGCAAGCAACAAGCACTTCATCAAGACCTGTCAAGTAAGTACTCGTGCAAACTGACAAACACTCATTGCCCATGCCCTTCATGCCTAGCGGCTATAGCTTGTTGCGACAGACTGCAGTATTTACCCCTTTGGATCCTGCAACTCGCAACCTTGGCACGCCCTGCGGGCACTATAAGGCTCCGAGCCTGGTTGGCTTCTAAGTTCTGCCCAGCAGGGCACTGGGAGTAGCTGTAGGGCCAGACCTGTCTCATCTTCAAAAAAAGGCATGGAAAGAGAGATGTGAAGCTTGGTCCGCGGCGTTGTTGACAGACGTCTCGACGGTTGCCCTCCTAAGTTCGAAGCGGCCGATTTATGTTGTGTACGTTTTGTTGCTAATCGCACGCGTTAGTTTGTTGTGCGCGCGGGGCGTGCGGAGCAACACACAGGGGGGGGGTGGGGGGGACATCACGCTCTGTCGTGCACGCCCCCCATGTTTGCATAAGGGAAAATTTCTTTCTGCATGTAAATTAAAGGGAAACATCGATTCTCTGTACATTCGCGATAAGAAAACATTCCCAACTATGCCGAATAAACCTTTTTTGCCTGTATCTGTTCGACAACATGTCCTCCACTAGTTTCCAATTCTTTTTGCCGGAGAGCTGCTTTTTCTCCTGCTTCAATGAACGGGGTACTTTGTTGTTTACGCGGGGGCACAGCAAAAGACAGAGACCCGAGACGCGTGTATATTGTGTTTTGTGTACGTCCTCTTTGTTTTTCAGGGTTCGAGGGAGTGTTGAAATCCTTACAGGAATTGGCAGCATCCTGTTTGAACTTGATTAGTTTTCAAATATGGTTCCTAGGATATGATACAAGTACAAGAAGCGGGTTTATCGCACATCAGGCAGCGAGAATACATATCGACGCATTGTAGACGCTTCGCGGCGGATAGACACATCAGCGGCGGGAATTGCACGTCAGGACAAAGCAATCTCCAATGTCCAATGAGATTTTTTGTGCTATGCATGCACATGGGTGGAACTGCTTGATTTGCTGCGGACGGGAATGATTTTCGTACGTTTTCACATGTTTGGGTCTGTTCCAATCAATCCTTACCTAGACGCTGGTTGTTGAGCTAGCTAAGAACATGGATAGAGTTGCTTGAGAACGCCAACTGGACGCCGTCGCTGCAAACCATGTATACCTGGAATCTATATACTCTGTTTGGCTTCTGGCACGAGTTCGCATTCCATTTAGAACTTTCAGGAAGTTTTCTTGCCTCCCGCCAAGCTACGCACGGTGGGGTAAGAACTTCGGAAAACTCTATTGCGACTACGGATCATCCAGCAAACCCAAACTCCAGGACAGTAGCGTATTGCAGGCCCAGCCATTTGCAAACAGAACGCGCCCCCATTAAACAGAATGATCTTGGATTCACGTCGCATTTAGTGTTGCAGCCATCAATACAGGATCTCCTACCTCAACATACGAGCACGTGTTCATTTTGTGCGTACGTGGCGGGAAGAGCATGAAAGATGAAGGGCGCCTGTCAAGTCACAAAAGAAAACGTGGGTTCTCGATGGTTCCCGTACGCCCCACACGGGGACTGGTCTGCTAAGTCTGCTTGTCTCATGTCCTGTGGCCCATGAGGTCCCCGCCCTAGATTCCCCAACAGCCAAAAGGCTGGCCAAAGGCCAGGAAGATCCTCAGAATCCAGGATTGCATGAACCATGAAGCAGTACAGCGGTGCATGACTGGCGGGTCGTCCACCGTGGTCTTGCAATAAGAGCATAAAATGCAGAAATTTTCTTGGGGCTCGACAGCTTCGCCCGGAAACTTGGCAGACATTTCGACCTCAAAGCAGCATCGCCCGCAACCTCTTACCGTCGAACCACAATAGACGGATTCATCACGTTTCATCAGCACCGCTGCTGCTGCACACCGCGGGCAATGAAGAGTCATTCAGTGGAAGCTAGCACGCAAAGCCACCAAGACAATGCTGCGTTGCCTTTGACAGTGTGCCTTGGAATATTCTGACTCAAGCTGAGCGCGCGGGCAACACCTCCGGTGAAGCAAAACTTGTTCCAACTCTGAAGCATGGCGGACGTGTAGGGACGATGCCTTGGAGAGCTCAGCACATTTCTAGGCCACCAGTGAAGAGACAAACGCACAGTGCGTGAGTAGCGGTGTGCATGCACTCAGCATACATGGATCTGCCACGACTTGTCATTTTGGCTCGTCTGAGCCACTACAGTAAGGATCCGGCTTCTTCTCCTTCCGCCCACTTGTGCTGTTGACAACTTCGAGAAAGCTCTCGGTGTTGGAAATGCGCAGCCTGAGCTGAAACCCGCAAGGTGCAGAACTGTTGCGCTGTGCTGAACAGCAGAAAGTCCTGGGTGGCTGGGTTTCTTGAACTTTACCGAGAGCAGGGCCATAAGTTCCCGTTGCTGGTGGTGACATGCGATGGTGAATCGTCATAGGCGTTCTCCTTGCCAAAGGATCGCGAAGCTTGGTGGGAATCAGTGAGGGAACGGCTTCCTGGTCAACATGTCTCAGCATTTGGGGCCCGGCATGACTAGGATTGATTAGGAAACAGTTGGCGACTCGTTAGCCGCACCCAAACTCCCAATCCGGAAGGAGCGCATGTCCTGGTCATTGGACGACGGAAAACCTCGCGAGACCAAGATAGGTGGAACTGCCATGATCTGACTATCTACTCTAGACGAAACATGGCGGCGATGTGCATGGACAGGATGTGCAGCAACTTTTGTTCCCAAATTTGGATCCTGACTAAAACTGCTTCGACACAGAAAGACAAAAGATCATCCTGTACAAAACTTGGAGCCTGTAATGGCGGTCCACGCGGGATCGTGGCCATCGGCAAAAGTGCGGCCTGGCGCCGGCTACATGCAGGCAAGTAAGACGCCTTGCAGAAGCGGTTCCGCAAAAGTGCTCGCAGCTTGGACTTTCTTTCAGGAATTCTAACCTCGTGACGATCTGCCCTCAATTGCAAGGCCCGGTCCTGGGATGTTGAACTCATCCGAAAAGACTAGACTCAACCTCATTGGCACAAACTGGCACAAGTTTGAAGAATCCATGCTTCAACCACTCCAAAATCGACCACTTGTGTTGCGACACCGTTCTTGCAACTGATGCGCCGCGCTTGTGCAACAACATATCAGATAGTGATTGTTGCAGTGGCAACTTGCTTGTAGCGAGGGCCGTGGGACAAACAAGCCTAAAGTGGCCAACGCAGTGTCAGTGCCTCTGAGCAGCCTCGGGGCAGAGAGCTTTACTACCCGGCATCAAATTTTCAAACCCTCGCAGCACGCGTGTTGTTTTTGGCGCTTTTGAGAAGAGATCAGTGTTGGGTGGGGCTGTTTATGGGCTCCTGCTCCCACCAGCAAAGCTTGAAGAGCGACAGCTGGATACATGAAGCTACTTAGGACTTGGAGCTTTGGGAATCGACGCTGGGGGAGAAGTGCTGACTTCGAGAATGCGAATCGAGGATGCTGCGGAAACATCCACATGACTTGACATCATGCTCTTCAAGTTCTGCTCGCGCTTCCTTCTTCTCTCTCTTGTCAATGGAACACTGAGCAGGCACCATGCTGCAATTGACGTGATCACAGCGTGCCTGTTTGGTGGACCGGGGGAGGGCGCGCGCATGAAGCCCCATGTAAAGTATGCATCTGCGTGCCAGGTTGCTTTAAAGGGATCCAATGCCTTGCCGAGCTGCGGCTGACCGGCGGAGTCGACTTGTCTGCTGCATGCCTTGCAACAACCCCACGTGTGCTGTCACAAGGCACGACAGATGGATTCGCTGCCGCCGGTCTTTTGCCAGCCAACTGGGTATCAAGAGTCTGTAGACTGTAGAGCTGTATATGTAATCTTACTGGCTTCTGATCTCCCAAAGAAGCAGCTTCTGCACGGCCTTAGCCGGCGTGTCCGGATCCACCTCGAGGAGACAGCGAGGGAGGCACCATGAGGCACCAGCCCATTAAACAAATATCGCAGGCACCACAAGATTGACGCCGCTACGGCCATTCAGGAGTCGGACGATGGCAACACGAAAACTAGCGGAATTGCTGAGAGGAAACCCTTCCGAAACTTACAAGTGTTCGCAGTCTATAGACCAAAAATTGATTACACGTTCATCTCCCAGGTCTCGTCCGCTGAATCTGAGCCATGTAGCCCACTCGGACTGTGGACATGATGCCAGGGCGGGAAGGGTACCTGATCCATCACTTGTGTTCTATTGCATGATGCGACCTCCGGCCGAAAAAAGTCAACCAGTCAACCGCATGGGTGTCCACGTTCCTGAACACGTTTAAGAGAAAAAACCCGGACAGCAATTTCGGGGCACCCGAGAGAAGCACTGCAGCGCGCAGGTAAGGCGCGGCAACCTCGGCCGCGAACCCTCAGATTGCACAGCCGGGCTCTTTACGGCCTTTACGGATGTCGATCAGGAACTCTCGAACTCAACTTTCCAAGCCATGGCCATTGCAGAATGACAGTTGCACCCCCTTGCTGCTTGCTTGCTTCATCAGGTCACACGCGCACCCTGGCACCTAACAGTTCCCGAAAAGTCAATTTGCCAGGGAAGTTGCGGAAAACAAGCCTCGACCAGCCTGTCCTGGCGTTTGCACTCTTATTTCGACCAACCAGCATGCGGCCTTATTTGTAGAGCTTTAAGAAATAAGGAAGTTGAATAGAGCATGGACAACAGAAATCACAGGAAGTGGGATTCCAGAGCTCCTCTGTGGGCTGTCACAGGACCGGGCCCAGCACCTGCCAAAAACACAGGAGTGCGCAACCAAGTGCCAGCAGTTGCACCGCACAGCTCGAAAATAAGAATGATGTTTGCGTCGGTCAAGTGCATGAGCGCTATTTTGAAAACCATCATTGGTGGTGCGGTGCAGGGGATTGCCTGCCATCATGTCTCATCGCTGAGGTCACGCAGACAATGGAGGTGTCTATGTTAAAAAGGTGGTTGTCTGCTTGAGGGTTTGTTTGTTGTTCATTAGCTTGTGTGTGTGGGTGTGTGGGTGTGAGCGTGTCCGCGTGTGTGTACGTGCGTGGTATGAGTGTGGCGCACATGGTCGTGAAATATTGCTACACGACCCGATGCCACCGTGACGGTCTTGCTATTTGAGAGTAGGCAGCTAGCAGCTTAAGAACTGGTATGAGACAGCCTGGAGTTCGGATCTGGCATGTTGAGGCTGGGGCATGATGGGCAAGGGTTCTACGGGGGGGTTGCTGAGCCACCCAAAAGCTTCCGGTGTGAATTGGTTTCGGTTGCAGTCGAACAAGGCAGGGCCTGACATGTGGCCTTCCGCGCACGCTCAGGCTGCATGCTTCGACTATGTCAGACTGCCCTGCAACTGGTTGATCCTGCATTTTAAGGCTCAGATGTCCCATTGCACCCGAGGGGTCTCTATGCTTCTCCTACTTGATGCCATCATCCCAGGGCTACAAGGGGCAACGACAGTTCAAGAGCTCGAAGCCACACAAGTCTGCTAGTCGTCTCCAAAGGTCCGAAGGAGTTGAAGGCGCGCGCTTTTTTTGGTCGAAACGATCCTAGTGATCCTAGTTCCCTGGGATGTAAGATCACATTGGTTGCGCTACATGTTGCCAAGTTGATGAAGCCACGGTTTCGCTATGGATCTCCATCCCAGTCCTTTCGTCTCCGTCCTATCTCTAGCAACACATGCCATGCAATGGAGACAGGTGTTGGCGAGGCGTTAAAATCGACGACTTGGCACAGCCATTTGGCCCGCTCATGTCGCAGCAAAATCCGGTTCAGGAACCTGCGGTATACATGTTTCACCATTGTCAAACCATTGCTGTCATGCAAGAGCCGTCAAAATATCTTGTACCCTGAGCTGCGTGCCTCAAGTTCAGGATTTCCCACAAGGCCTTCAAACCGACGAGAGGCTGCTCTCCGTGTCCTGACACTGGCACTTAGAAAATTTCAGGAAGTAGAAACGCTTTTTGAAAGTAGGCTAGCGTCCGCCATCAATGGCCGGCGCCTGTTCGTTCCGACGGAGTCTTGACTGGCCTTGCTTGTGAACAGGCCCTGCCTGCCTTCACACGACAGACACGAATCTACCAGCCTAAGGCACATTGTTTGGGTTCTTCTTTGCTCAAAATTTGCTGGGCCTGTGGGCAGGCCGGGCAAAGAGGGGCTTTGTTGGATGCGTGGGAACGAGGGCTCGGGGCAGGCCGCGCGACGAGCATTGGGTCGGCCTCTGCCAAATTGTTCAAACCATTTTCTCCCAAGGGGCATGAGCCAAATGCGGCATGCCCCAGAGCTCTATAGCAATGTCTGTGGAAATCGTTGAAAAAAGTGCGAGCCCAGTGCGAAGGTCCTTCTTTCTTTATGGCCGGAGCCCACAAGCGCAGTTCTCTCTCTCTCTGTCTCACTCTTCGTTTTCTTCTTTTCTATCTTCTTTCTTCTTCTTCTACTTCTGCGCTGAGGGGGGGCGGCTGCGCCGGCCAGCAGGGGTTCGTGTCCGGTCACGCAAAGGACTCTGGTATGAAGGTGGACCCATTCCTTTCTTTCCTTCTATTCTTTCTTCCTGTCTTGGGGCATGAGGGCGCAAGGCCACCGCACAGGCGCAGTCTGCGCGTTCGGCGTCTTGAAAGGCCAAGGCGAGGAGACAAGGTGGTCAGCGGGGCGATGTCCAGACCAACGTTGTCCATGACCGCCAGCCCCTCACCCCCTGCATGACCTCGCGTGCCCCCCTTGCGCTGTGGTTTAGGACCGGGCTGTCGCATATACACGATATTTACTGGAAAGACGTACCTGCACAGTCCGTACTATACACACAGCATCGACTGGTAGCGGGCAACAACAAACAAGAAGGCATGCAGCGCGTTTGGGGCAGTGAAACGTTTGCTCAGCAATTATGTTTAAAAAGGTGCAAAAACACGATGTTTTTGCATCTGGGCATGTTGGAAAAGTGGCGCATGTTCCTACTTTTCTGTATGGTTCGGAGAGCACTAACGTGGACATCCATCTTTTTTTTCGGTGTTTTTCCTGGTTGATTGAGCATCAAGGTAGCATCCGAAAATGTGCTTTTTCGCGTCCTCCGTATTCGGCTATTTTTGGTTGGAAGTCTTTGGAATTCAAATTGAGAGTTTTTGTTGCAGAACTATCTCGTTCTGTTGATGGTTGAGGGTTTTGGGCTACATGGCTTCAGGGGTTTAGGGAGTTTAGGGTTGAGGGTTTCGGGCTCTGGGCTGCACGGCACCAGGTTTTTTTTTTTTTTTTTTTTTTTTTTTTTTTTCCCACCCGTTTCGCAAGCGTATACGGGGAAGAGGTCAGGCCTAGGTATCGCCAAAGTTCAGGTTGAAAAGGCACCAGGGGTTTAGGGTTGAGGGTTTAGGCTCCAAGCGTTTAGGGTTGAGGGCGGACGTAATCATCGTGCGGGCATGGATGCTCTGGCCAGTCGCGCAGACTGGTAACACGGACGTTATCATCGTGCGGGCATGGATGCTCTGGCCAATCGCACGGACTGGAAAGAACACGGACGTTATCATCGTGCGGGCATGGATGCTCTGGCCAATCGCACGGACTGGTAACACGGACGTCATCAGCGTGCGGGCATGGATGCTCTGGCCAATCGCACGGACTGGTAACATGGACGTAATCATCGTGCGGACATGGATGCTCTGGCCAATCGCACGGACTGGTAATAACACGGACGTTATCATCGTGCGGGCAGGGATGCTCCGGCCAGTCGCACGGACTGGTAACACGTGGCCAATCGCACGGACTGGTAACACGGACGTTATCATCGTGCGGGCATGGATGCTCTGGCCAATCGCACAGACTGGTACACGGATGTTATCATCGTGCGGGCATGGATGCTCTGGCCAATCGCACGGACTGGAAATAACACGGACGCTATCATCGTGCGGGCATGGATGCTCTGGCCAATCGCACGGACTGGTAACACGGACGTTATCAGCGTGCGGGCATGGATGCTCTGGCCAGTCGCACGGACTGGTAACACGGACGTAATCATGCTTCGAGCACGAAAATGTACACGTGGGGGCAAGTGAAGGACAACCCACGCAGGCCGATGCGTCATAGGTTTCCAGCGGACATGTGCGGAGCAAGGAGCGAGACCGGGATGCGAAGCGGAAGGCAAAAGGGCATGCGGAGGAGGCAACAGTAACAAGCCAAAACACCACGCAGGCCGACGCTTTCGAAGGGTGCCATGTGGAAAGACTGAACGGTAGGCCGAAATAGGAAAATGGGACAGGTGCGAAAACATCGCTGCCCGCATAATTTCATAGCTTTTCGGCCACAAAAACAAAAGATTTCACCGGGAGAGCGCACGCGAAAACGCGGAAAACCCGATAGAAATGACTATCAGGAAGCAGAGGGCAGACCAAGAATCCAACAAAAGGCGAGAAAACCGAGGTTTCGCAAGGGTTTGGCAAGGGCGACCCAGAGGAAACACTGAAAATACCGATGAAAACGGCAAAGCGGACACGAAAAGGGATTGCACGAACTCGACGAACGTTCCACGGGCTCGAATGCGCCGCATGCCACAACAACACTTCATGCACCGGACCTCTTAGAAGGCACGCCCTAAACCCTGCACACAAACCCCCAGCCCCAGCATCCCTGCCTCTTTTCTCTCACTCTCTCTCTCTCTCTCTCTTTGCTTTGCTTTGCTCCGGGGCGTCTTCCCCTCTCTTTCTCCTTTTCTACACAGCGAAGAGGCCCCCAACTAACTCTCCCTCTCTCTCGCTCTCTTTTTTTTCTTTCCTTCCTTCCTTCTTTCTTTCTTTCTTGGGGCTTGGGGGTAAACTCTGTGTGAACAGGTGGAGGCAAACGGTGGGCTTTGGATACTCCTTGCAGGGTCTAGCAAGGCGTTTCGCCCCCTCTCCGCCACCAGCTTCGTCCTGGGCTCCCTTTGCCGACAAACCAACAGGATTTGTTGAGGTGTCCTCGTTTGCAGAGAAGCGGCACTTGCAGTATGCCCTTGGCCTTCTCAACATAGCAGAACGTACAGCTTTGCCATGAAAATTAGGGTTCGAAGATTCGAGCCATGCAAGGTCAGGTTGGGGAGCTCCAAAATAATACAGCATCTTCGTCGTCGTGGCGGTAGCGGTGCAAGCGGTGCCGTCACTGCTGGGCCGGCCATGGTTGCGAATATGTTTGTGAGTTGGTGCCTGTCATAATTCTGGTAGTCCGGCTTGCTGTCGGTGTGAGTCTTGGCTAGTGTTGCATTTGATGGCTGTGGTCATGAGAAAAACGGTTGACGTCTGTGCTGCGGAAGTACGCGGATGCAGTCATTTGTCAAAGTCCCAGTGTCAAAGAGAATTCTGTCCGAAGGAGTAGGAACAAAGCAAGGTCCGACATGTTTCCAGGTATCTTGCGCGCACGATGGTTCGCCCCCTGCTTTGCGTGCTCAAAGCATGATGAACGTTCAGGATATACAGGATTGAGGCCTTTCCAGACCTGCAAGCTTGGCCTTGCAACCACATCGATCTGGGTTGGGTTGTAATTACTGACCGGCACATGTCAACTTCTCCTCATCCTCCGAACTCTCGTCGTGATCGTGGTCGAAACCTGAGTGAGCACAGCATAGCACGGCTGCAGGGGCTACGGCTGAACATCTGCCTGCCCACTGCACACGCTGAGTGCCTAAAACTCCTTGTCGTGGCGTGTCTCACAGCTGTGCCTGCTGCTTCCACTGAGCTCCTGGCACATTCGCGCCACGAAAGGGTCGTAGTCCAGCTTCTCACGATCAGTGTGACCAGGCTGCCTTGACATGTCACTCTAAACCGACGGACAGGGTGGTAGGAAGCTGCCTGCAAACTGAGTTCAAAAAGGAAAGTGAAAGCGATTAGCTCTGCGGACTAAGTCTAAGTAGGACTGCAGCCGGTAGATGATGAGGTGGTGAATGCTGAATGTCGGACCTCAGGCGCTTGAAGATGTACCGCCGTAGTCTTGTCAGGTTGCCTTTCGATCTGAATAGCGGCCCGAAGCAGCTGGGCAGCTGGCACAGAAATTCAGAAAGGCCGGACAGAAACACCAGGGGCGACAAGGCAAGGAAAATGATCAGCCTGCATATGCTGGAGTCCAGGGACTCTAGTCCATGCCGCGCGCTCGTGATATCTCGTGAGACTAAGTATGCGCTCTAAGGATGCGACGACACCAGGAAGTCTCTGAACATGCAAAGCGCATCCAGCCTGAGTTTAAACATTAAACGGTTTAAGCTGTCAAATGCTTAAACGCACACATGTTTAAACATGTGTTTAAACACATGTTCCAACATAAACATAAACACACAGTGGCTGCAACCAGTACGCGTTTTGGGGTTTTGAGGCTTTGGGAGCTTTGGGTTAGGGTTTAGTTTAGGGTCCAGGGACCCTCGCTCCCAACCCTCCGAAAACTTACACCCAACCTCGGGAACTGACACTCCGAAGCTTAGGGCTTCACAAGGTTTAGGCTCTCAATGTTTCAGCTCCAGGGTTTTGCAGAGCACCAATAATAAGCATGTCTGAACGCCCAGGAGCCCCACCAAATGGTGTTTAAACGTTGAGCCTTGCGAACTGCTTAAACTGTTTGAGTTGTTTAAGGGCTCCAAAGCCCGAACTCTGCTCAACCTGTTTAAACGCCTAAAATGTTTTAAACGATGTTTGTTTTTTCAAACGTGCTTGGCCCGCCCCTACTTGACATGGAACAGTGCCAACACTTCCTGGTTGCCATAAAAAAGAAGCGGGAACATGAGTTCGAACGCTGCAAAGTGTGCCAACTCTCCGATAGAACGCACGAAGTGGATGCGTCCAAGTGCGAAGAAGCATCGAAATGCGTCCCTGCCACGTTTTCGCGCCGAGCATGCAAGGGGAGTGTGGCGCAAGCGTGGTTGTGACCATGGAATGCGCGCGGGGCCGGTAAGACGACGCGCGGGCGGCCCGGTCGCCGCGAGAATTGCAGTGCCTAAGCCTGCCGCCTTCACGGGCCTGGCGCCCGCGGACACCGCAACCTAGGCCTCACGTTCGCATAAAACAAGTTCAGCCAGCCCCAGTAAGATAACCAGAATGGTTTTCTGAATACTTCGGAGCTCATGTTTCCTGGTTCTTTGAACTTATCTTTCTGAATTGGCCCTCTGCTTTCGCAAGCCCCCTCTCGCTCTCCCTCGCTCTGCAAGCCCACACTATGACTAGCGCTGGGCACATAGTTTTGGTCACAAACAAAGTCGGAAGTATGCAGAAGCGTACTGAGCCGCGGCTCCTGAGTCCTTTGGCGGCTTGGTAAGGTTGTGGCCAGAGTTCCAGGGGACGGCCGACAGCACCCAGGCGCTCGAAACACCAACTGCGGATGGCAGTCATGGCCTTGGCCACATTCTAAAAACTCCGATCAGAAGCTGAACAAATGCTGACACGTGATGGACGAGATTGCACATTGCCCCGAAGCTGTCTGCGCTGGCGTAACAGCTCTAAACTTGTTTTGGCAAGGCGTGCCCAAACGTACCAGGCTCAGGGTTTGAGCTGTTGTCTCGACGCAGCCGCTATCGGCACAACATTGGGGATGGACGAGTTCTCGCACACTTCCTTAGTACCGCCTGCATGCCCCGCACCAGCACGAGCACAACCTTTTTGCGTCTGAAACAACTACTAGTAAAAAGGGCTTTCATGGGTTCTCCAACTCTATATCTAAATCCCAAACCCAAAGCCCACAACCACACCACAGGCGAGGGTCCATGGGTAATAGCGCATGTCGCAATTTCCGGGAAAGAACTAGCAAGGGTCGAGCAGGAGTCGACAACTTTAGAGGGGCTATTGACCCGCGGCACAGTCCTGCTTGGGCTCCATTCTTTTGTGGCGGATTGGTTGATATTGGTTGCCTTTGCGTTGAAGTGCCGTTCCTTGCTTTTACTATGGGGCTGATGCTAGCTTGCTACCTCAAGACGTGCTCACTTGTCAACGCCTGTATGGGGCCATGGCCAATCCAACACACAGTCGGAGCCAGAACATCTTCAACAGGAAGGCCAACATACAGGCCTTCATGCATGTCAATTTCTATCGACCTTCACGCCAACATCTCAGCAAAGTGCAGCATGTTGTGAAAAGGGGCATGCTGCTGTGCATGATGGTCGCACAGATGCGTGCAGGGTTCAATATGGTTCAATGCGTGCCAGCCTTTTTCCAGCCCAGGGATGCAACCTTGGTTGATTCAAGCCAAGTCGGGTTGCAGAGCAGGATGCCAATAAGCCTAGACGTCCCAGCATCTCCCAGCCCTTAACTTCCGTGAGGCACTCGCCCTGGGGCCCTGTGTTTGCCAATGCAGCCGAGAAACCCACTGCAAGGGGGGAACGGTCTCCAGCACTGTTAAGGCCGTGACAATGACGGACACCAGTATCAAGGGACACCTTTTTCCAATGTGCAAATGCTAAGGGGGATTCAGGGTGCCGGGCAGGACTTCCTTGCCAGGCCAGCCTTCGTGGGCAGCTTGAGGCCGTCTCTGCCTCATGCACGTGGGCCGCAAAGCATTCACGAAGCACTCGCGAGGCACCCGGCATTCCAAGAAGCTAAGTGCAATCTGGCGGCTTGAGAGGTCGAAAGTGCCTGACACACGTGTTCCACTAGACATGCGCATGCTGAACCAAGATAACGTTGCTGCCAACCGTCTGCTCTTCTTGCTGCGGCAGGCAGAAGCCTCGTAGGTCTCTTCGCTTGAAGAATCGCTGCTCTTCGAGGCTCCTTTGCCACGAAGAAAATGCATGGACACGCCCGAACCGAGAGCTCAGCAATTGAAGGCTTGACAATGCGATGGCACTAAACTAAGGCCCAGCGGCTCATCCAACAGTTTGCCACAGCACCAAAACCTTGTGCAGTACTGTATGCACACACTTCCAAGGCTTTTCGCAGCTTTCCCATATTGCACATCCCGGCACAGCCTAGGATGGAATTGAGAAGGTCTTGCTTGCATGTGGTGTCTTGCCCGTCTTCTACACTCCCAGCACCGTCAAACTACTTGTATCTTGTTGGAACGAGGCAATGACGCAGCATTACAACCTTAGCTTCGGCACCTGCGTGCCTGATCTCCCATGAGCCTCGACTCTAGAAGCCAGCGCCAGGCCTGATACCAGGACGCAGAACAGCAGCGGGGTGATGACCTGACAGATTCTCGGAGCAACTGGGGAGAAGGTCCACGTGACTAGGTGCATTTATGGTGACCTCCTGCCCTATGAGAACATCGCATGACTCTGACAAGAGTGACCTGTCACTGTCCGTTTCTGCCAGATGCAGGTCTTGTACTCCCTGGCGAAGATGGCTTCATCCGCGACCGAAAACTTTTTTCGGAAGTCGTACAAGGCGGACAACAAGACATTGTCTGTGCCGCACATCCTCGCCATCATTCGGGGACAAGTACCAGTAAGTACCAGTAAGTACCAAACATGACCAAAGAGGACCTGAACGATCTACCTGGTCGCATCCACCCCACAAACTCTAGACAACCCTATCCTTGGAGCTAGTAAGAAGAGATTGCTATGCTGTGCTGTGGTCTGCAGAAGTTGATGCATAGCACTCAAAGTGGATCTCGACCAGGGGCTGACAAAATGCATGACCCCATCCAGCTCAGCTCCGACTATACGGAGTGAACGGACGAACCATCAAGCCTAGGGCCCACAGCTTCCCAGCTTTCAGCTAAGCAATCCAAGCAGAGATACTTTAGCTTGTGCAAGCTGCTCGGCGAGAGCCTCACGGCTGGATGGCTGCACCGAGGCCAATGTCGAAAATATGCTTACAGTGGCCCGTGGGCAAGTGGCTCGCAGCATCCCGGTCCCTACGTCCTCCAGTCATGTCAACAGCATCAATCAGCATCACCGGCAACAGGATTCCCTGTTCCACAAGCCCTCTGTGCCCAAACAGTGCGTACGGCCAAACTGTCCTGTTTAGGTGTAGGCCGTTCGTTCCAGCAGGTTCACACCTGCTTCAGGTAGTTGCTGGAAGGGCGAAAAAGCAAACTGGGTTTGTGATCGAAATCCGATCAACAGGTAATGCGTCCGCGTGAGGATCCGGGCTTCGCTGCTAGCATGTGCGTGCATGTGCTTGATAAGGTATGCGCCTGCGGACAAAAGACGACAGCATTGCTCCTACTATGCCTTCACCCATTGCTGCAGCCCAGCCTACTACACTATAGGACTTCATAATACTTCATATGCAGGACATCGTTCATCATGCGACTGCAAAACCTGTGTGCCAGCCAAAGCTAGCAAACCGTTGAGAATGTGAGGTCTCACCAAGTGGCATTCTAGCCACACCACTGACACACAGCAGCGTGCATCATAGCTGGTCATGGCTCTGTGCAGTGTGGCCTTCGCTTTGCGGAGCCTCACTGCAGATTCATCGGACAATGCCGGATGCAGCTCGACGGCTCAATTCACACTTGCAGTAGTAGCTGCTGTGTTTGTGGATCTGGTCCGTCACAGATACCGGCGACCGAGCGGTGAGTTCGCTGCTGTTCGCAACTTGGCTTTCGCTGAAACACCTCCCTACCATGTTTGCATAAAGGCGTGCCACCTACCCCACAAGTCTTCCCATCGGCTGTTCACCTCGAGAAAGCCAAGCAAGCTTCGGTTCGGCCAGTGGAGCACACATTTTGCTGGAAGACTTGAAAATGCAAGCGGCCATTGCGCCCATCAAGGGCTCAACCCGCCTGATGGCAAAAGTCTGCTCCTCCATTGTCGCCTCACCTAAAAATCCAGAATTAAATATCACAATTACCCACGCTCCGCACGCTCTCGTCCAGAGCTTCGGCGCTGTGAGTTGCTCCTTGTGGGGTTCTCTGGTGGCACCAAGGCGGTGCTCGGAGTCTGTGGCGGCGCCTCGGACACATTCTTCAATTCTTCAAGTCTCGGAACTAGCCAGGGCAGAAACAAAGCAGAAGCGTGCGTGATGTGTCGTTGTCTATGCAGGTCTTGCAAAGCATTCGCAGCCGTGGGCAGATCTGAGCAGGCCTTCTCAGCCTTCTCAGGCTTCTCCGCAACAGGCGCGAAACGCGTCGTCAAGTCACCAAGCTGGGTCTGCAAGCCTGAAAAACACATGCTCTACCATGTTCGGCAAATGTTGTTTGCAAGTTTAAGATTCGCATAGATGCCTACACAGCAGCTTACAATATGAATATCACTATATAAAATCATAAACGCAACAACACATTAAAGGGCCGGGTGGCTCTGCTGTGTATCCTTCACCTCACGCATGACCTGCCGACGGGCAGCATTCCCATAGTCGCCCTTCCCTATCCACGCTGCTCTTCATCTTCCTCTCATCATCCCTCTGAAGAAAAGGGAAGAAGAACAAACATCCGGAAGGTGGTTCTCCATGGGCCTCTTCGACCACTTGCGTTTGGTGATTTGTCAACCTCGCATTTCACAGCCACCCACACGCCAACGACCACCGAGGCAATGCACGGAATTGTTCTAAGAAAAGAGAAGCTCAAGAGCGAGAGAGAGAGGGAGAGAAACGGAGAGGCATCAATTTTCGTATTTGCGAACAGCTGCAACCTCATGTCATGCTCTCAGATGCGAGGTGCCTCTCTTCGATCTGTGCCAACTCCTTCTTGATGGACTCCGTGCTGCTTCCTGCACACAGAGAGATCATAAATCAGAGCAGTTGGCATGCACTACTGTATGGCTGAAGATCTGCTGGCGATGTGACTCACACTTGTACATGCAGGAGACTGAAATGCTGTCAAACTGCTGCCGCTGCCGTGCGTCTCCAAACGAGCAGCACTCTCCTTCTCAAGTTGCACATCTGAAGATACAGCTGATAGCTTCCATCGGCACTGCACTGTGATGATGCCTTGTCTGGCTCCAACACTTTTGGGTGTTCAATGGTGTTCATTGTCGGTGTGGCACTAACCACCGGTGAGCTCAGGCGTGGGGCACTCAAAGGGCCTACGCTTGTGGACCAGTCCTCCAAGCGCTCCACCATGTTCTCCACAGCTGCGCGGAAGCTTCCCTCGGTCAGTTTAGGATTTTGTGTCTTGCAACTTGCGAGACCTCGGAAGAATTTGACGTCGTGAACAGTATGAAGTCATTACAAGCCATGCGTCTGTGTCGTTGCCTTGCGCCTTGGTGAGCTCCTCGGCAACAATGCCGCGCAGCTCTTGGGCGGTGCCGGAGTCAAGGCCTGCTATGTCACGGTGTGTCAAAGCCTGTAGGTCTGAGGTACCGTCTCCACACTATAAGAAGTGACATGCTGATCGGTTGCTTCTGTTCCATTCATGAATTACCTTTATCTGCATATGGTTCGTGCAGTTCTCGCAATAATTGTTGTGTCTGTCGACCTCGAGCTCCCTCCCGCCATCTTTCCTACTGGTAGCTGCCGTCAAGGTCGCCTCGTATCGCTTGCAAACTGTCGGCGTTGGTCTGGATTCCGTCGTTTGCATTTGTCAAGAGATCCATGATCATGAGGTTCCTTGGCTCATGCACAAGGGCGAATTGCCTGTGTAAAGAAAACTGAACTTGAAGCACAGATTCTGGCGTCGGACGTCTGTCATGCGCTCCTGAGCTCATAGAATGAACAACATTCTGGTGTCCGAGGCTGCTGGTTTCTTCTACGCACGCGCTGGGGACCTTGCAACCCTGTCCTACTGCTCTTATATTAACTGAGTTAATGATTAGAGCGACAGCTGCTGGCAAAGAGTCGTCAAGGATAGCAGCAGAACGCTCGGTGGCAACCACCGTGGCACTGCCTCAGAGGGCAGACATCTCCCGTTTCTCGGGTCTTTTCTCAGCCTGTCCAGCCCTATGACCTCTTCAACATCATGCATGCAGGAGCCATTCCTAGCGAACATGACCCGCCAAACTCAACACCATGCCGCTCTGTTCATGCACGGTGGTCAGCTCATCCTTGAGGGTGGCCAAGACAGACTCAGAACTAACCTCATTCGCCAGGTACATCCATTCAGCTTTCGGGTGCGACTGGCGAATGCAATCCCCAAGCCTGGAATATTGCGCAACTGAACTCTCAGAGTGTCTACACTTCACTTGTCAATTAGGAGGCTGCGGACCTTCAACTTAAAAACCTTGAAGCCTGCCTGACGCCAGTGCCAGTGCCAACAAAGAGATCCATGGAGTAGGTGGGTCGTGCGGGCTGCGCTCTGCGTGTAATCATGAAGCAATTTCACATCAGGGCTGGCCCTGCACCCAGCTAAGTCCTAAACGCATGCAGGGCTCCAAGAACAGCGAGTCAAGAGTACAAGTGCCGTGGGGCTACACGGACTCCCTGAAAGAAAGTGTGCACACCAGGGCCACGAGGGTCGGAGAGGAAACGCGTGCCATCCGACCTGTGGGTGCTGCCAAGAGGCCGTGTACGAAGACGTTACCTGGGAGCGCTGGTGGAGACTCTCTGTATACTGATGCTCGGAATGGGGCAGGAGCTTGACACTACAAGGTCACTACAAGTGGGGCACAGCGCAAGTGGCAAAGCTGCTACGTACTGTAGTGAGAAGCCTGCCATCACTCAGTTTGTTGATTCACAAGACTTTGTTGACTGAACAACATCCAGTACAGTCTGCAGCCTGCTGCAGCGAAGGCTTCAGCAGGGGATGTGTTATGCTATGTTATGCTCCTGACTCCAAAGCTCCAAGCAACCCTCAAGCGATCTGAAGGTCGACTTCAAAGCTGCTGTCTCACCAAGCTCGCCCATCTTCTTCTCCAAGGAGGTCTCGATCTCCATCAAGCGTCGGACCGTCGTGTCATTGCCAGTCCTTAGCATGTGCAATTCTCGGGTTCACGAGACACTGTCACGACAGTGTGGCCTGCAACGCCAGACTCCCCTCGTGAGGTCAGGCCCTGAGATTGCGGACTGTACTCTACTCGACGCTCTACTCGTCTCTACTCTAGCTTTCCATCATCACGGCAACAGGACAGCAAGTCTCAAGGCAGGTCTAAGTCAAGAAGCTCCATCTTGGTGACCATTGTCTGTTGGGTAGATGCCACTGTCTGCAAGATTGAATGCGACTCTGTGGACTTGCGGAGCAGGTCCTGCTGCGTTGCGTCCTCGGACCCAAGGTGAATGGTCCAACCCGCTGCAAAATCATAAACTATGTAACTATGCTGCAGAACATCTTGAGAAATATCAGCAAAGTGTCCAGCTTCTGCAGCAA